CCCACACCACTGCTAAGTCAACATATGGTTGCTTCACTTAGAAGTGGGAGCCAAATAATGTGTCTACATGGATAGAGAGAGTAAAGTAAGAGAACTAGAAGGTCGGGTGCAGCGGCTCACACCTGTAATCCCAGCACACTGGGAGGCTGAGGTGGGAGAATTGCTTGAGCTCAGGAGTTCGAGACCAACCTGGGCAATATAGTGAGACCTTGTCTCTACAAAAAAAAAAAAAAAAGGCCAAGCTTGGTGACTCAAGCCTGTCATCCCAGCACTTTGGGAGGCTGAGGCGAGGGGATTGCCTGAGCCCACAGGTTTGAGACCAGCCCGGGTGACTTGGCAACACCTCGTCTCTACAATAAATAAAAAAATTAGCCAGGCGTGGTAGCACACGCCTGTAGTTCTGGTTACTTGGAAGGCTGAGGTGGAAGGATTGCCTGAGCCCAGCAGGTCGACGCTGGGCTGGCCGTGAGCAGGCCACTGCACTCCAGCCTCGGCACTGAAGTGAGGCTCCAACTCAAAAAAAAAAAAAAAAAGGTAACAAACACCAGAGACTCAGAAAGGTAGGAGGGTGGAAGGGGGTGAGGGATGAGACATCACCTAAAGGGTGTGATGTACACTATTCGGGTGAGGTCCACACTAAAAGCTGGGACTGCACCACTGTATAGTATGTTCACGTAACAAAACTGCACTTGTACTCCCATAACCACTAAAAAAAATTATGGAAAAAGGCTGGGTGCAGCGGTTATGTCTGTAATCCCAGCACTTTGGGAGACCGAGGCTGGAGAATCACTTGAGCCCGTAAGTTTGAGACCAGCTTGGGTAACATAGCAAGACCTCGTCTCTACGAAGAATAAAAAATTAGCCAGGCATGGTGGTACACACCTGTAATCTCAGCTACTGAGGAGCCTGAGGTGGAAGGATCCCCTGAGCCTCAGAGGTTGAAGCTGCAGTGAAGCATGACTGTGCCACTTCCTGTGAGGCCCAAACAAAAAAAAAGAAAAAGACTTATAGGAGGCCATGGTTTTGGACTGAACTCCTGTACTGGGCGCCAACAGACCAAACCAAAACAGATCACTCATGCCAAGTGCCTTGTTAATCAAACTGAACTTTGGAACTGACCAGTTTTCCAAAAAACAGGAGATTCACAGCAACCAATCAGAAGGGGTCCCGTTTACCTGAGCTGGCATGATAAGAAAGTTCCCTCTGTTTCAGCTCTCTAAGGAAAGCCACTTTGAATCAGTGAATCTGCTCTTTGTTCCCTGTTCCTGCTTTCTTCAGCCCTGTTCTGTCTACAAAGCCAAGCTCCTTGGCTCGGCTCATCAGCTCCTCAGAACACCCGCTCTGTCTCACAGAATGAGGTGTTGCCCAATTTTAGAACCATAAACAAAAGCCAATTTGACGTTTAAACTCAGTTTGTTGTGCTTTTGTCTTTGGACACTACCCTCGATGGCCCACAGCCAAAACCTGCCTGAGCACTGACCTGTGGGTCCCAGAGAAAAGGCATTACTGCCCTCCCTGTATAAGAAAAAAGCCCAAGGCCAGGCGTAGTGGCTCACACCTGTACTCCCAGTGCTTTGGGAGACCGAGGTGAGAGGATCACTTGAGCCCAGGAGTTCAAAACCAGCCTTGGCAACACAGTGAGACCCCATCTCTATTTTTATAAAAAAAGGTTTTTAAAAAAGAAAAAAAACTGTGGCTTAAGCCCAGACTAGCAAAGATCCCTCACAATAGCAGGGAAAAGACAGTGGGTAGAAAGTTGGGAGGCTTGCCCCCCTTTCCCTTATACCCTGCCTTTTATGGATGCTTTATATTCTCTTGCAAAGCATTTTAGAAATATTCGTTCAGGCAGGGCAAGGAGATTCATGCCTGTAATCCCACCACTTTGGGCTGGGCAATCCTCTTGCCTCAGCCTCCCAAAGTGCTGGGATGACAGGCTGAGCCACTGCGCCCAGCCCAGCGAATTTTTTTTTTAGAGTCTTTCAATGTGTTTGCCCATTTCATGATGGGTGATTTACGAGCACACCTGCCCACCCCACACTGAGCGTTCAGCAGTTTTGGACCCAAAACAACAAGACCCTGTCCCCTGTGCTCCCATTCACCAGATTCCACCCCAAGTGACTTTTTGTTTCCCTGGTGAAAAAAGTCCTCAAAGGGAAATGTTTTGCCGACGTGGAAGAGGTGAAAGAGGTGGGAGGATTGCTTGAGTCCTGGAGTTCAAGACCAGCTTGAGCAACACAGTAAGACCTTGTCTCTACAAAAAAGTCAAAAAAGCAGCTGGGCATGGTGGTACACATCTGGAGTCCCAGATACCTGGGAGGTTAAGGTGAAAGAATTACCTGAGCCCAGGAGGTCAAGGCTGCAGTGAGCCATGATCGTGCCACTGTACTACAGCCTGGGCAACAGAGTGAGACAAAAGAAAAGAAAAGAAAAAGATTAATTCATTTAATCCTCACAACTTTCTAGGAATTCAAGATTAAGGAAATGATCATAATAATGTTATTATTTTGACAAGCCTGTTAGTTTGGTAAGTTCTTAATTAGGACTAGTGAAAATAATTCACACAGTTGGTTCCTTCTTATCCATTGGGCTTGGCTCTGTACAATAACCACCTGCCATATGAGGCTATTAATTAAAATGCAAAATTCAGTTCTATAGTCACACTGGACACATTTTAAATGCTCTATAGTCACATGTGAATAATGGCTGCCATACCAGGCCTTGCAGATCTAGAACATTCCATCCTAGAACAATCCATCAAGGCAGAAAGTTCCATTGGGCCACTCTGGCCTAGCTTAAAAGTTGCTTCTCTTGAGGGCTCCTGTGGCCTGACCACACCTTTCCAAAACAGATCCCCTTGGGTATTTCTGCTTTACCCTGCTCCCCTCCCAGCACTGAACATACTCAGAGACAATCTTCCTTGTTTACCTGTGTGCGATATCCCCACCGCCACCCCGCTAGGATGCAGGCTCCGTGGGGCTGCAGCCATATCTTCCTGTTTCCTGCTGGAACTGTGGGGATAAAGGTATCTCCCCATTCCTCTTGCTTACTCAGACCTGCCCAGCCACCCCTCGCCAGAGAGCCACTTCCCACATGGACTCTGAGTTTTGTCTCTGGTGAACAGGTTTAATAAACTGTTTTCTCTAATCCCTGCTGAAACTGCTACACTGAGAGAAAGAAAGGAGACTGGAGGGGAGAGAAGGTTGGAGAGTCCTAAACAGAGCACACTGCTGCAAATGGGAGGACCACGGGTTTTGCAGCCCAGCAGAACTGGCCTTGAAACTTGGCTCTGCCACCTCCTGGCTGTGGATCTTGGAAAACAAACATCACCTATCTGAGCCTTTTCTCATCTGTAAAATAGGCATCCACCACCATCCTTGTGCCCTTGTTACAGGGGATACATGGATCATTTATAAAAACTGTAGTTAGAAGGAAGGCGGGGAAGCTCTGGGTAAGTTTGAGTGTTGGGTGAAGAAGGTGCCAGCTAAAGGACAGGCCAGGAAAGGAGCTGGCAGGAACCTACTGCTTATGAAGTACCTATCTTGTACCAAACTCTGCATACTTTACAACCATTATCCCATTTAATCCCTTCCATATTTTATAGAGGAGGGACTGAGGCTGGGAGAGGAGATGGGCCATGTCCAAGGTCACAGAGTAGGGGGAGGCAGAGCCAAAAGTTGAACCCAACTCCTTCTGACTCCACAGACTGTGCTCTTTGTACCAGACTTTTACCTTTCTCTTCCTTTAAACTTTCTGAAAACTCAAAACGGCCTTCCCCTAGGACTGTCAGGAGTACTTGCCTTTTCTCTTTTCTCTCTCATCTATGTCCAACAAGCAGGGTTAAACTCAAGCTCACTGCTAACATGGACGCATATGGAAGGCCCTGTCCAGACTTTTCTCATTTTGGTAGAGAGAGTACGGAAGATGCTTAAAAGAATATCCAATAAAACTCTATCCCCAAGGGAGAAAAACAGACTGGATGGAAGAAGAAATTCCAGAAGGAGAGCAAAGGCTCCCTGTGGCTGGTGGGGTTACGCTTGGTGGCACTTTTCTTCCCAAGTTTTCCACCCAGAACTGCGGTACTGCATTTGGAATTTGGGGGTAGGGGAGGAGAAGGTGGATAACAACCAAGTAAACAAAGCCACTGGATCCCCTGAAAAGTCCCATCTGTTATGAACCTATAGGCATTCGCTTCCAACAACTAAAGGATGCAGACGTCAGAGTACTGGAGTATCTGCTTTTTAAGCTTCACTGGGGAAAGGCTGGTTTTTCAGTTGAAAATGAATGAATGAATGCTGTGAGTGAATGAATGACTAGATGTCCCTTCAGGAGGCAGAGAAACCTGTCCCTCCCTCCAGGCTCCATTATCATCAAGCGCTTACCATGCTTAGCTCATTTGTCTTATTGCTTAGCTCATTTGTCTTATTTTATCTTATTTATTTATTTTTTGAGTCAAGGTCTCACTCTGTGGCACAGGCCGGAGTGAAGTGGCACAATCATGGCTCATCACACTGCCTCCACCTCCTGGGCTCCAGTGATGCCCCCACCTAAGCCCAGCCCCCTTAGTAGCTGGGACAACATAGAGATGATGCCTCACTATGTTGCCCAGACTGGTCTCGAACTCTTGGGCTCAAGGGATCCTCTCATCTCCGCCTCCCAGAGTGCTAGGACTAGAGGCATGAGATATCATGCCCAGTCTTCATTTGGCTTAAATTATAACTACTTATCCACAAAGTCATCTTCTCCAGCTAGGCTGAGATCTTCTAGAAACTCAGTTTCCTGGCACAGGGACTTGTGTGTGCAGTAGACGCTCAGTGAATGACTCTCAAAGGAGGGGAGGAAGGAAGGTACAAGAGAATGCTCACGTCTTCTGCCTTTTTACATAGTCCCCTTTGAAGTGTTGGTGTCAGGAGATGGCTCGCCTGGGGGAGCAGGGGATAAGAAGGATGGAGACCCCACTGTAACTCTGCACACCCCGATTACAAAGAGAAAGGACACGTTACCTCATAGTGGGGACGCGGGTCTCAGTGTCGCCTGTGGTCAGAGGCGCCTCCAGGGACAGCGCCCCCAGGCTGGCCCGGCTGCCCTTTCGGGAGGACTCACGAAAGGAGCCGGCGCCAGGATCCTCGTCGGAGGAGTTGTCGTCAAAGGAGCCCAGGATGAAGTTGGTCATCAGCTGCCTCTTGAGGTTGGCCTGCTTCTTGGCTTCTTTAGAGGGAGACCGGGCACGCTGGCCCTGCGGCCTGGCTGGGGAGGACTGGCCATTGGTGTCTGGGGCCTCGGGGACTTCAGTGCTTGTCCTGTTGGCTTGGGGTTCTGGGAAGGACGAGGCATCGGTGGAAGAAGGGGAGTTTCTTGGGGGCTTCTGGTGTGAGGGTGGCAGGGAGTTTCTCCGCCGATAGGCATCCTTGGGGCTTTTGTGGGAGCCTGGCTCGGCCTGGCTGGCAGTCTTTGGCAGTGAGCAGCCATCACCATTTTTCTGTGGTGGCTCCCCTGAGCTGTCTGAGGCTGGGAAGGGCTCCTGGTCTGAGATGAAGCTCGCTTCTGATTTACTCTTGGGCATCGGCTTGGAGTCCGTCATCTTCTCACAGATTTTTAATCAGGTAAACGTCAGGCAGGAGAAAATTAGACAAGATAGAAAAAGAAGCAAGACCATTCAGAAAGTCTGCAAGGAGAAAGAGAGAGACATCTTAGGGTCTACACAATTGAGTTATTTTCCTCCTAAGGAGCTAGTGGGATGAGAGGCAGTTGGTGTTCTGTGTATTTCTAGAAGTAGAGCACAGAGAGTGGAGATGGGGTTCCTCTCCCAGTTCTGCCCCCTAATGTGCTTGGACATGTTCCTTGACCTCGCTGGACCTCAGTTTCTAGTTTGTTTGTTTTTTTTGTTTTTTGTTTTTAGTTGGAGTCTCACTCTGTTGCCCAAGCCAGAGTGCAACAGCACGCTGCTCACGACCACTGCAGCCTCGATCTTCTAGACTCAGGTGATCCTTTTGCCTCAGCCTTCCAAGTAGCTGGAACTACCGGCACGTGCCACCATACCCAGCTAATTTTTTGATTTATTGTAGAGATGAGGTCTCACTAAGTTGCCCAGGCTGGTCTCGAACCCATGGGCTCATTCTGCCTCCCTCTAATTTAGGGATACTAAGCCATGCTCAGCATAAATCATAAACATGCATGTGAGTGAGAACCAAATGGGATAATGTATACTAAAGGACTCTGTTCTAGCATCACTATTTATAATGTCAAAATGCAGAAACTGGCCGGGCGTGATGGCTTGTGCCTGTAATCCCAGCCCTCTGGGAGACCAAGGTAGGAGGATTGCTTGAGTCCAGTAGTTTGCAACCAGTCTGGACAACACAGCAAGAACCCATTTCTAAAAATAAAAAAAAATTAAAAATTAGCCAGATGTGGTGGCACATGCCTGTAGTCCCAGCTACTCAAGAGGCTGAGGCAGGAGGATCCCTTGAACCCAGGAGTTCAAGTCTACAGTGTGTTATATGATAGCGCCACTGCACTCAGGCCTGGATGACAGAGTGAGATTCTGTCTCAAAATCAAACAAACCAACCATAAACACAGCATAGGCACCATAGTGAGACCTTGTTTCTACAAAAAATAGAAAAATTAGCCAGGTGTGGTTGCATGCACTTGTCATCCCAGTTACACAGGAGAATGAGGCAGAAGGGTCATCTGAGCCCAAGAGGTAGAGGATGCAGTGAGCTGGGATCATGCCACTACACTCCAGCCTGGGAAACAGAGTGACATCTCGACTCAAAAAAAAAAAAAAAACCACAAAAATGCAGAAACAACCCGAATTAACTGATGAATGGATGAAGAGAATGTGGACTGTCTATGCAATGAAATATTATTCAGCCATAAAAATGATTGTAGCATCAAAATATGCTACAATGTGATAAAGCTTGAAAACTTGCTAGAAAACATAAAGAAGCCAGTCACAAAAGGTCACATATACATGAAAGTTTTCATATACATGATTCCATGCATATGTAATGTCCAGAATAAATAAATCCCAAGAGACAAAAAACAAATTCATGGTTTCCAGGAGTTAGTGGGATGGGAGTGATGGTTCAAGGGTATCAGGTTTCTATGCCAGGTGATTAGACTGTTCTAAAATTGATTGAGGCGGCTGGGTCCAGTGGCTCATGCCTGTAATCCCAGCACTTTGGGAGGCCGAAACAAGAGGATTGCTTGAACCCAGGAGTTTAAGACCAGCATGGGCAATATAGAAAAACTGTGTTTCTAAAAATTAATAATAATTGGCCAGGCATGGTGACTCAGCCTGTAATCCCAGCTCTTGCGAGGCCAAGGCGAGAGGATTACCTGAGGCCAGGGGTTCGAGACCAGCTTGGGCAAATTTGTGTGCAAATGACAATAAATCATACAAAAAAATTTAGCCAGGCATGGTAGCATACATCTGTAGTTCTAGCTACTTGGAAAGGCTGAAGCGGAAGGATTGCCTAAGCTCAGCAGGTTGTGGCTGCAGTGACTGTCAGCATGTCACTGCACTCAGCCTGGGTGACAGAGTGAGACTCCAACTCAAATAATAATAATAATTAATCTTTAAAAATAAAACAATAAAATTGATTGAGGTGATAATGGCTGCACAGCTCTGTAAATATACTAAAAAACACTGACTTGTCCTTTGCGTGTGTGGCTTGTGTGGCATGTGAATTATAACTCAAGAAAGCTGTTTTGGCTGGGCTCAGTGGCTTAGCCTGTAATCCCAGCACTTGGGAGGCCGAAGCAAGTGGATTACTTGAGCCCACAGGTTTGAGACCCACGGGGGAAACTTGGCAAGACCTCGTCTCTACAATAAATAAAAAAAATTAGCCGGGCATGGTAGCGCACGCCTGTAGTTCCGGCTACTCGGAAGGCTGAGATGGAAGGATCGCCAGAACCCAGCAGGTTGAGGCTGCGGTGGCCTGGGAGCATGCCACTACACTCCAGTCTGGGCAACAGAGTGAGACTCCAACTCAAAAAAAGAAAAAAGAAAGCTGTTTTGTTTTTTAGAAAGACTCTTAACCATACTCCACTTTATAAAAGATAGAGGATTGTTGCTTCTGTCATCATCATCTTCATCCTCATCATCGTTGTATTGTTACAGTTATCATCATGGCCTGTGGAAGGAAGGGCACCCTGTCATTCTTATTCATGGCACCAGAGGCCCTAGCGTGGAGTATGCTTCCAACTAGAATGAAAGTTCTGTGAGCCCAGGGAGAGCCTAGAACAGTGCCCGGTATGCAGTGAGGGCTTAACAAGTGTGTGACGAGTGAATTAATTCAGATATCCTGATTTCTAACCCAATCTCCATCTACAACACTAACTCTGCCCTATTAATGACTAGATCATTCCAATATTGTTTCAAAAATGAGACCTGAGCGTGTTGGAATTTCCGAGCCAACTTTGCCACAATGAGGTGATTGAGGCATTACAAAAGCAGGACTACAAAGCTCAAGCAGATCCATTTTGGTATCTGAAAGGTATTTTCATGTTCAAGTTCAATTGTGCTCCTAAGGGGAATAGAAACGTTCTCAAGATTTCCCAGAACTACATGACCCAAGTACTACTTGTACTCTTTTGGCACCAGAATCTGCTGATGTGTTGCCAAGGGTATTTTCTAGGTAAACCACAGGACCAGACAGCTTTTTTTCTCTTAAGGTCATCAAGTTTCTTTTTAAAGAAAAGTCAATCAAAGGTGGTTCAATGTCAATGCAACACATCACGTTACTAGAACAAAGAAAAAACACACATGATCATCTCAATGCAGAAAAAGCATTTGACAAGATCCAATGCCCTTTCATGATAACAATATTCAGAAAACTGGGAATAGAATAGAAGGCAACTTCAACCTAATAAAGCACATTTATAAAAATCTCACTGCTAACATTATACTCAGTGGAAAGACTGACTACTTTTCCCCTAAGAGCAGGGAGCAAGGATGCCCACTTTCACCAGTGCTATTCAACCTGTACTGGAAGTTCTAGACAGAGAAATTAGACAATAAATAGAAATAAGGCTGGGCTTGGTGGCTCAGCCTGTCATCCCAGCACTTTGGAAGGCCGAGGCGAGTGAATTGCCTGAGCCCGTGGGTTCGAGACCCGCCCAGGCAACTGGGTAAGACCTTGTCTCTTCCATAAATCAAAAATTAGCTGGGTGTGGTGGTGCACACCTGTAGCTCCAGCTACTTGGAAGGCTGAGGCAGAAGGATTGCCAGAGCCCAACAGGTCGATGCTGGGGTGGCCAGGAGCGTGCCACTGCACTCCAGCCTGGGCAACAGTGAGATTCTAACTCAAAAAAAGAAATAAATAAAAAGCATCCAAATCAAAAAGGGAGAAGTAAACCCATTTCTATTTGCAGATGACATGATTTTACACATAGAAAATCCCAAAGAATAACACAAACACACACAACCAACTACTATAGAGATAATTAACAAATTAGGGAAAGTTGCAGATACAAGATCAACTCCCAAAAATTAGCTATGTTTATACATACCAGTAATAAACAATCTGAAAAGGAAATTATGAAAATTCCATTTACAATAGCATTCAAAAGAATAAAACATCTAATAATAAATTGTTTTAATTTTCTTTCTTTCTTTCTTTTTTTTGAATCAGAGTCTCACAGTCATCCAGGCTGGAGTGCAGTGGCACGCTTGACCTGCTGGGTTCAAGTGATCCTTCCACCTCAGCCTTCCGAATAGCTGGAACCACAGGCATGTGTCACTATGCCTGGCTAATTTTTCTTGATTTATTGTAGAGATGAGGTCTCAGCAAGTTGCCCAGGCTGGTCTCAAACCCATGGGCTCAGGCAATCCTCTCACTTCAGCCTCCCAAAGAGCTGGGATTATAGGTGTAAGCCACTGTGCCTGGCCTGTTTTGATTTTCTTTCTTTTTTTATTATTGCTGTCATACTTGTGTCCTACCTAGAAATAAGCATAACAAAGGAGGTGAAAGATCTATACTCTGAAAACTACAAAACACTACTGAAATAAATTTAGGAAGACATAAATAAATGGAAAGACATACTATGTTCATGGATTGAAAGACCTCTTGTTAAGATAGTAATAGTATCCAAAGAGATATACAGATGCATATGGAATTGGAAGGGGTACCAACTAGCCAAAACAATCTTAAGAAAGAGCAAAGATGGAAGACTCACGTTTCCCTATTTCAGAATTTATTACAAAGCTACAATAAACAAAACCGTGTGACATTTGGCATAAGATAGACATATAGACCAATAGAATAGAGACCCATGCATCTATGGCCAATTTATTTTTAATAAAGATATAAAGACCATTTGATGGAGAGAGAATAGTTCCTTCAATGCAGGGTGCTAGGACAACTGGATTTCCACATGCAAAAGAATGAAGTTGGGCCCCTATTGATACCACATGCAATAACTAACTAAAAATGGATCAAAGACCTGAATATAAGAGCTAATGCCACAAAACTCTTAGAAAAAATCATAGGGATAAATTTTCAAGACCTTGGATTTGGCAATAAATTCTTAGACATGACACTAAAAGCATGAGCAGCACTGGACTTCAACAAGATTAAAAACTTGTGAATCACAGGACACTATCAAGAAAGTGAAAAGACAAGGTACAGAATGAGAGAACTATTTGCAGATCA